GCCATCCAGTGTGAATGAAGCAATATTATAACTACTTTTTGTCAGGTTGGCAAAAAATACAATATGTTTTTGGTGTGGGACAGAATTTTAGTAATTAGTTTGTGTGTCCTGAGATGAAAAAGGTTGGAAATCGCTGCTACAGGCAGAGGCATTCCCTGATCTAGCAGCAGGGGAGCCCTGCTCACAGCCTCATAGCCCGCCCCTGTCCCACCAGTGCGGCTCAGCTATAAATGATACTAGTGGTGTCCTGTCTGTAATTTAGTCAGCATTTACTATGGGGCAGGCACTGTGCCCAGCTTGCTGAGTCATCATTTCATTTAATCCTGACGAACCCTTGTAGGTGGGTACTACGATCATCTCCTTTCTTACAGATGGGAAACTGAGTCACAGAGACAAGAAATACCTGCCCCAGCTCCAAGAGCTGCAGAGAGGCAGCCAGGGGTGCCCGCCAGGCTTGTTCGATCCAGGGCCCATTCTCTTGAACCCTCTACAACTATGGGGCCCATCTCGTCTGGTGGGTGGGACTGGCCTCATTTTATCAAGAGAACAAAGCTTGGCGGGTGAAGGACACACAGCTGGCAACCGGAGAACCATGTGAAAGCTTGTTTGGAAGAATCCAGGGCCCTTTTCCTCGGCTACAGCCCAGCTGGAAACCAGGGCTGCATCTGAGCATCCCGGAGGGTTTGGCCTTCAGGTGCTGACCTCTGCAGAAGGTGGTAATGATGTGACCCACCTGCAAACCTCCCGCTGACAACTGTGAAGAGCCTACGCCCTGGTCTGTGGGTCCCCTGGTCTGCCTTACAAATGAGGCAACAGGTACACGGAGGACAGGGCCTGAGGGCACTGGGGACAATGAGGGCTGCTGGCAGACACATCTAGTGCAATGTGGAGGGAGAGCCTGGATTATAAACTGCAGGAGAGCAGAGACCACGAACTCCTTACCGCTGTCTCCCCAGTATCAGGCACGTAACCAGCACTCAGTAAAAACCTGCCGAATGGATGCTTGGACCAATGAGCCTGTCCTGACTGCCCAGGAGGGGTACAAAGGCGAGAGGGAGTTCAAGCACTGTTAACACAATGACAGTTAACACTGGGTCTCACGTCCCGTCTATTCCACCTTCACACCTAATAATCAAAGCATTGAAACATGCTGGTAAGAACTCCTGGAATGGATCCTACACATACTATTCCATTCTGCGGCTATTCTCTAACCTTGGCTACTAAAGGTGTTTCCAGTGCGCTGCTATCAAAGAAACAGGCAGCAAGAATCATGCAGAGGCCGAACAGCAAGGGACTGGGCTCCAGAGGCAGAGTACCTGTCTGGAAAGCATAGCTTCTCCACTTCCTATGAGCTGTGCATCTGTGGGTAAGTTACTTAACCACTCTGTGCCTCAGTTCCATCATCCTCAGTGAAACAGGGAGAATGACAGCACAGCTGGCCCCCGGGGTGGCTATGGGGTTAAACCTGTCCATGTCTGGGGCTGTTAGAAGAGTGTCCGACCCACAGTCAGCCATTAGTAAGTGCTGGCAAACGGTCCACCAGCACTCACGCTCCCGAAATTCAGGTGACTCCTTAGAATGCAGTCCGGGAAGTGGGATCAGAAGGCCAGCCAGTAGAATTGTAAGGACAGTGCCTTTAAAAACCCCAGCAGCGCCCAGCCAGGGGTGGCTCAGCGGTTGAGCATCGACCTAGGATCCAGGAGATCGCAGTTTGACTCCCGGGCGGGGCACATGCCCAAGTTGTGGGCTCGATCCCCAGTCAGGGATTGCAGGAGGCAGCCGATCAATGACTCTCTCATCATTGATGTTTCTCTCTCTCTCCCTCTCCTTTCCTCTCTCTGAAATCAATAAAGATATATTTAAAAAGACAAAACAAAACAAAAAACCCCAGCAGGGCTAAGAAGACAACCCTAATTCATTAGCCCAAGAACAAGGGCTCAGAGGCTCCACTGCTAGCTTTTCTGCCTTCCTTTCTTCTAGCCTTTCTGCCTTGCTAGCCGCCTTCTGTCCAGTCAGCAACCCCCTGGGCTCTAGGTACCCGGGGAGAGAAGGCATGCCCGCCTACCCCACAGCACACAAACCCAGAGGAGGCCAGGACCGTGGCAAGGAAGCTGGGCTTCTATCTTATTTTAAATTCATCTTTATTTTTTTCTTAAGGAGAACTCCCAAATTGTATTAGCTGCAGGCCTCACCACGCCCAGAACTGCTTCTGTGCGTACCACCGCCTTGTTCACGTGTCTGTTTCTCCCACTAAATTATTAATATCTTGAGGACATAGCTCTTGTCTTACCCACTTTCACCTCCAGCGAGTGGCGGGTGACAGGGACGCGGAGTGTTTGCTGAGTGAGTAAGTGAATGAATGAATGGAAAAGAAGGAAAAACAGCCTGAACTGAAATCTCCCCAAGTCTCTTCTCTTCCAGGGAAACAACCCCTGTTCCAGACACTGTGGCTCTTTTCTTAAAGGTTATCAGCTACGGAAATTCCACTAGCTCTCCCTGGGGCCCATTCTCGGGTCTAAATTGTCAGGATGCCCTAATCTAATAGGAATGCTTCCACCCCCAGTCTGCTTCTGGGCTAACTGATAACACAAATTTGGGGGAGGAAATGCCAGAGTTTTAAGGGAGTGTGTTCAAGCCTCAAAGGATGCACAGGGACAAAACAGGCCTGGTCTCAGGTGGCCACACACCCTGCCTGTCCTCTGACCAGCAACCACCCCCAGCTCTCCTTCACCCCTCACTGTTTGTTACCCTTTACCAGCACCGCATTGGGTTCCACAGACACCCCCTGGACCACCACACCTAAGCTGTCCTCCCAACCCCCTGCCAGCCCGATCCTGACACACGTATTTTTTCCTGCTTCCCCTCGGTCTCTTCCCCTCCCCCACTCCTTGCTAGGATGTGAACTCACTGGGTCTCTGCCTAGAACAGTGCCTGGCACGTAGAAGGAGCTCAGGAGTACTTGCTGAGGCGTGAATGGAACAGCAGTCACCAACGGGCGCTCGGCATCGCCCTGCTGGGGGGCCGGCGCTGTGCAGGACTGCCTGTGCGCACTCAGCTCTGACAAGCCATCGTTACTCTGTTCAAGGGGTTCTCTGAGAGCAAGTCCATGATCCCATCCCCACCTTTTATCTCCACCATTCCCGTTCTTCCACGACTTCCAGGTGTCACATCTTTAGCTCATTTTCTTCCTTTCCCTGTTTCCTATCTCCCTGCCTCTATCTTCAGCCCAACGGCACTCTGCAGCCACTGCTGCACCTTTAGGGAAGGCCCCACGTGCCTCTGCCTGGGACTAGGAACGGCTTAAGCTCATATCTTATCTACCTATTGTATACATAAAATTAATAAATCCCAAGGCCCAAGTGGCGTAGTTTCTATACGGATTCACATACAGAGATCATAGGTCAGACGCCCAAAGAGATTTTTAAATTAACTCCACTTTATAGATAGGTAAGTTGGTAGGTAGGTAGATAGATGTCCTTGCCAATAATCATATAGAATAGATACACACACACCCCCAACCTTCCTCCTCCATGATGGCTGCAATTACATCCAAGCCGAGTTAGGCCCCGGCAGAGCGAAGAGAGACAGCCCAGAGTGATCACCGTTTTCCCAAGTGCTGCTAGAAACATTCTCCGTGGGCACCGTCCACAGCGGCAGCCACCACACTGTGGCTATTCCCACTTGAAAAGCAGGGAGGGCAACTGAGAACTAAATTTTTAATTTTATTTCATTTTCATGAATTAAAATTGAAACAGCCACATACGGAGTGGCTGCGACATGGGGACAATTCAGCTTTAGACCAGGGGCTGGCACACATTTTCTGTTGGGACCAGACTGTGAATATTTTAGGTTTTTCGTCCACACAGTCTCTGTCGCAACTTCCACGGTGTGTGACAGTGCCATAGACACGCCTGAAAGAGGAGTGCGCTGGGCACCAATAAAACTTTATTTACAGTAAATATCCAGGCCAGATTTGTCCTGTGGGTCATAGCTGTTTGCCAGCTCTCACTCCAGGACACGGCAGAGTGTCATTCAGGCCTCCTTTGGGAAGGCAGGCACTTGTCATAGAAGGATGTTCCCAACCCAGGATTTTACTTACCAGTTTTCATGAGAGCTCAGGCTTCCCTTTTAAGAAAGGAGGTTGCTTGATATGCTAAGAGGCCTGTGCTTTTCACTGAGGGAGAAAGAATTCCATCCCTGTGGACTATCCCAGGACGAAAGGCCAAGTCACAGAGACCAAGAAACAGGGACCATCCCCAGCCAGCATGATCCCAGAAAGAAACCAGAAAAGATAACATCTCCCACGCCTGCGGGGAGGGTTAGTGAGTCATTTATGTGGACGAAAAGGGGCCACATATTAAACCTGACAAACTCAGGGGAGGCCTGTGTGGCGGCCTTACAAACTCAGAGGCCAAAAGTAGCCACATAGGATGCTCTGAAATGAAAACTTTGTAAAGAAAGGTGGGTCATGGCTGGTAGTCATGTCCTTAAGCAGAATTTCCCTAACAAAGGTCAATCTTCACCTTCACTGAATCTGTCTGTAGTCTTTCTGCATCTAGGATAACACACCTGATAAACATGCCTTTGCAAAAACAAGGTAATTTCCCTTCTCCAGACCCCTCAAAGCACAGGCACCCACCAGCACAGAGACTGCAAATACCTTCATTGTTACTGGGATCATACTAATTGTTAACTGTTAACTATCCTGCACCCACCTAAGTAAATGAAGTGCATGTCTAGCATTTTACTTTATATCCAATCCCAGGTTTCCCTGCTTTGCTTTCTCCCGCTTCCCTAATCTATCACCAATGGATTTCATGTAACCCAGGCCCGTTTCCTCCTTTGATTCTAGTAAATAAAATAAGGTGCAGAACTGCCATTCTCTGGAACATTTTCTCAATCCATTGAGGTTTTGCTTCCAGGCAATTGCTGTCAATTTGGCTCAAATAAACTCACAAAAATTCTCTACAGATTTGCATGTTTTCTATGTTGACATTTACCTCAGTAGGGTGAGGGGCTGTCCATCTCTGGTCCTCAAATGGAACTGTCCTGGCCACAAAGCTCAAAGCGTCTGCCACCACAGCCCCGAGCGATGCCAATGACTCCTGTTGGAATTTCCAGGTCAGCTGAGTCTGAAAATGGTACCAGCTGGACCAAAAGAGGAGAAAGGTCGAAGTTACTTTGGGCGTTTAGTTCACCCACTGCCTTTGAAGTTGGCTCCAGATAAACAGGCATTCACCCACTTCGCCACTCAGCCCGTACTTTCTACATCAAATGTTTCTTACGGGAACACCTATGTTGGTCCATGCCCAGACCAAGTGCTAGAGACAGAAAGGCGAGTAAACGATAGCAGAGGCCTCAAGGAGCTCAGCCTGGTGAAGGAAACAGACAGACAGGTCCTAGGGGGCCAACGCGCACAGGGCTGTGAGTGCCACGCAGGAGAACTGAGGAAAAAACAACCAACTTGCCCAGCCGGCGTGGCTCAGTGGTTGAGCATCAACCTAGGATCCGGGAGATCACGGTTCGATTCCTGGTCAGGGCACGTGCCCAGGTTGTGGGCTCAATCCCCAGTAGGGGGTGTGCAGGAGGCAGCCGATCAATGACTCTCATCATTGATGTTTCTCT